CCCACAGCGTGGGCAGAGGTCAGGGGGGATTCTGCCCCTCTGCCCACCCAGGTGAGACCCCACCTGCAGAGCTGCCCCAGCCCTGGGGGCCCAGCATCAGAAGGATGTGGAGCTGCTGCACTGAGTCCAGGAGAGGCCACAAAGATGCTGCAAGGGCTGGAGCTCTCTGCTCTGGGACAGGCTGGCAGAGCTGGGGGCATTCACTCAGAGAAGAGGAGGCTTCAGGAACACCTTGGAGCCCCTCCCAGTGCCTAAAGGGGCTCCAGGAGAGCTGGAGAGGGACTGGGGACATGGGATGGAGGGACAGGACATAGGCTTCCCACTGTCAGAAGGCAGGGTCAGATGGGATACTGGGGAGAAGTTTTTCCCTGTGAGAGTGGGCAGGCCCTGGCACAGGGTGCCCAGAGCAGCTGTGGCTGCCCCTGGATCCCTGGCAGTGCCCAAGGCCAGGCTGGGCAGGGCTTGGAGCACCCTGGGACAGTGGAAGGTGTCCCTGCCTCAGCAGGGTTTGGAATTGGAACAGGATCTGCAGGCATTACTCAGGGCTGCTGGCGTGGCTGCTCTGTGGGCAGGGTGGGTGATGTGACCACAGGGTCACAGATGCTCCAACTGAGCCACCTTGTGCAGCCACAGCCCTTGGACTCGGGGATGATCCCAGCAGGTGCTGCACAGCTGGACACAGCCTGGTGGAGAGTGGGTGATGGTCCAAAGGGCGCTCCATGACCTGTGGAGAGTGGACCCTCCCAGGACACCCTGCTAGCCCATGCTCTGTTAGCATTAAATGTTCCAAAACCATAAAGGTTCCAAAACCACATTGCTGAGCATCCCGGCATGGAAAGTGCCTTCCCCTCCCTGTTCCTGGCCCTGGGTTTGTTTTTCAGGCAGCTGGGGTTGGAGGCAGGAATCCACAGGGTCCCAGGCTGGCCGTGGGAACCCAGCATGCTGCTGGGGTGGCCGGAGGGGAGCAGAGCAGCCAGCCCGGATGTGAGAGCTGTGCACTGTCCGTGCCTGCCATTTCCTGTGTCACTGCAGCCCTCCCTGACTCACAGCCTGCCTGTTCCTCCCACTCCTAGAAAACAGTGAGGGAAGGCTCCAGCCGGTGCAGGGGTGTGGGAGCAGGGGGTCAGTGCAGCTCTGCACAACCAGGTGCATCCCTGGCCATGGTGGGTCCCTGTCACCGGTGTCCCTCCCCACTGCTGCTCTTGTCCTCCAGCTCAGAGTATGAAATCCTGGTGTCCTGTGCTGCTGCCACCAGCCCTTTGCAAAACCAGCTTTTGGCACAGACAGGGATCTGGGCTCTGGCAGTGGATCTGTGCATGGACAGGGACAGGGATCTGGCAGTGGATCTGTGCATGGACAGGGATTGGAATCTGGCGGTGGATCTGTGAGTGGACAGGGATCTGGGCTCTGGCAGTGGATCTGTGCATGGACAGGGATCTGGCAGTGGATCTGTGAGTGGGCAGGAATCTGGGCTCTGGCAGTGGATCTGTGCANGCCACTGCCCCTGCCAGCCCTGGCTCCTCCAACAGCTCCTGGCCCCAGCAATGACCCTGTGGAGGGAGCAGAGCCTCCCCAGCATGGCTGCAAGGCCAGAGACTGAGGGATTCCTGCCCTGGGAGCAGGGACATGGTCCCTGGGGGTTTGCCAGGCTCCCTCAGCAGAGCTCTGCCACCCAGGCACTGCTGTGCCATGCTCTCACTCCCTTCAGCTGGAAGGCAGTCCCTGGGATCAGGTTCCTGGCACACCATCAGAAGGTTGGGACTGGAGCTCAAGATGCAGAAGTGAGATGGGATGAATTCCCAGCTTACTACACTTTAAAAAAACCCTCATTTCCTCAGGGATCACTGCAGGGAAAAAGTAGTTTGGAAGAAAGTTGAGAAATGCCAAGTGAAAAACTCAGCATGTTTTTGGCCCAAAGTGATGCGTTGTCATTTTAGAGATTTAACGTTGATTAAAAATTCACACAAAGAGATCCAAGCAGAAGTGCTTGGGAATGATCCACACAGGGACCAGGGCTTGGAGCGAGCAACTGCTTGAATTTGCAGTGGAAAAAAAGCAGCTCTGTTTCCTCTGTGGAAAAAACAAACCAGCAGTGACCTCTGGAAGCTCCTGGTGGCCTTGGCTGAGTGTGGGGTCTGTCAGGAGGAGCTGATGCTGCTCAGGGCAGGTTGTCTGGCCTGTCATGGCCAGGAGAACGTGGCTGTGGCACAAGGGGTGGCACCCTGGGCCCTGGCTGTGAGCTGAGGCCCCTTGGTGAGCACGCAGGCACGGGAGGGGAGCGTTCCCGGGATCTCCTGGCTGCGGATCCGGCGGAAGGCGTAGGCTTGACTCCCTGTCTTCTCCATCACCTCCTCTCCGTTCCCTCCACCCCCAGAGCCAGTTTTAGTCATTTTCCTGGGAAGGTTTCACATCTTCCCACGGCTGAGGACACCTGAAGGGCAGCAGTGGGACAGGAGCTGTGGTGTGGGATGGGTTTCTTTGTGAGTCTCAGTGACACTGAGCAGAGCCTGAGCTGTGCAGTGGATCCAGATCTGCCAGGGATGGGGCACCCAGAGGGTCCTGGGCAGGCTGGGGGAGCTCACAGGAACCTCATGGAGCTCAGCCAGGCCAAGGGCATGTCCTGCACCTGGGGCAGCCCCAGCACAGCACAGGCTGGGAATGGCTGCGTGGGGAGCAGCCCTGGGACAAGGACTTGGGGGTGCTGCTGGTGACAAACTGGATGTGACCTGGCCATGGGCACTGGCAGCCCAGGAACCAACCCGGCCCTGGCTGACCCCACAGCGTGGGCAGAGGTCAGGGGGGATTCTGCCCCTCTGCCCACCCAGGTGAGACCCCACCTGCAGAGCTGCCCCAGCCCTGGGG